GGGAGCGGTTTTTGTTATAAGGCGTGTGCACTTGCCAGAAAATCAGAGAGACAGAAAGTTAGAAATTGTCCCTCCACCCCAGAGGGGATGGCCACACCGCAATCCCTTCTCCTCTATTCTCCTCTTGGGATCTTGGGCACATACACACACGCGCCCAGTGTAAGCTTAAGCCACACCAGGTCTAGGACTCAAACTGCAGTCAACTACATGGGAGTCCAGTGACATAGCCATTATGCCATCTACTGGTCCCCTTGCCATTACTTTTTAATTGTGATTGGAAAGTATACTTTGTTTGATTTTCATCCTTTAAAATCTGTTTAGGTTTGTCTTATGGCATATTTTATGGTTTACCAAGATATTGTTCCTTGTTCCATTTGAAAGCAATGCAAATTCTAGTGTTGTTGGGTGGAATGGTCTCTATATCCCACTTAGATCCTGAGGGTTGATTATATTGGTCAGTTCTACATCCTTGCTGAATTTTTGTCTAAGTAGTCTAATTAATTACTTAAAAATGGCACGTTCAATTCCACAACTATAATTGTGGATTTATTTACTTCTCCTTTTAGCTTTATTTATTTTTACTTCTTGCATTCTGAGTCTCTGGTTTTTGGTTCATCCAAATTTAGGGTCATTTCCTGGTGGAGTTATATCCCTATCATGTGTCATGTTCCTAATTTTCCCTAGTAATTTCCTGGCTGTGACATGTCTTATATCTGATATTAATATGAGTTACTCCTTCTTTCTTTTTTTCAGGTAAATGTTCAAATGCACATTTAATTAACTAAATTCAAAAGTTATTACTTTACAAGGTTAAGTTTCATATCAATGAACTTTCCCTATTTGTTCCCATTGAACCTCATTGGACTATCTTACCCTATGAATGGGTCTTTTTATCCATTTGTGATTTTGTAACAATCTGTACAGGTTACTTGGAAAATATTACGGTCCTGAAGCTGTGTTGAACTTTCAAATGATGACAGTTTTCCCTATACGGTACTCAAAAGCCATATTTAATATCCCCGCCAATCTGAAGAGAAAAATCTTAATTGGGAAGCTGTCAGGTTCAGTTCATAGTGCTGGGTTCACACTTTCCAAAGATCTCATTTTTTTTTTAATTGCCAGAGAGTGTATGTATTCACCAGAGAGAGATGCAAGGAGGTAGAGGAAGAGAAAGCATCTCCCGATGGGGCATAGTCATGCCACAATCCTTTTTCTTCCATTTCTTTATCCCATCAAGATTTTTGACACACACACACACACACACACACACACACACACACACCCCTGGCATTTTTTTCAAGCCTCTGGGGCTGGGATTTGAACATAGTCTACTGTGTGGGATCCAGCTCCCTTATGCACAGGGCTTAACTGCTTCACTACAGGGATGGCCCTCTAATTTTCTTTGAAAACTCAAATGTTATTGTCAACAAATACTGTTAGATGATTTTCTTGAAGTAGCAGGCTCATTTCATTAATTTTCAAGACATTTTTGGCAAATCATCATATCTGAATGACCATAGTTCATCTGCCATTCATTCAGGTAAATTTGGTCTTCCATGAGGGAAAAAAAATAAAAATAAAAAAAGGCTAATTCACTTTAAAACTGAAACAGTGACATAATTGCCTTTTCCTGAGTCACATGTTATCCCTGGGGTTTTATACTGTTGTATGCCTTTTTTTAAAAAATTTTCCAGAAGGCATGTATACTTGCCAGCGATAGAGACAGACAGAGGAAGAAATCGCCCTCGTGGGACGTGGTCACACCACAGTCCCTTCTCCATTCCTCTGTCCCATTGGGTTTTGGGGCATGCATGCACACATGCCTGCACTGTTTTCTCAGCTGTAGGGGTCGGGATTTGAATCACAGTTGGTCATGTGGGATCCAGCTCTCTTTATTTATCTATCTA